CAGGCGAGTTCTAGAGGGTATGTGACAAGACATTCGTAATATACCGGGCTGATGGGCGCGGCGAGCAACGCCGCCTCGCCGCACGAGTTGTCTTGCTTGACCGTTTGCATGTTGAAGGAATGGAAAAATTCGATATCCCCCGTCATAGAGTGTTGTCTCCGCTTGAGTTCACATCAGTTCCGCTGCTTCAAGTCAATAAACTGATACACAGCGAGAAGTTGCCGCATTTATAACGATTCTCCTGCCCAAAATTTCATGAACTGCTCATTGAATTTTTCATTTCATTTTCATCTTTGGGAGGCATATGATGTTGCTTATTTTTCATTTGTTCGTTTTCTGACTTATCTCTTAGTGAAATTATGAATGTAAAGCTTAGTAATTGGTTTACAGGAGCTCGACGGATACGACGATATTTCTATACGACGTTTCTTCGAGAGCCTACCGCTCGATTTATCTCCGAATATCGCCATGTGAACCGAGGTGCCACATGGATTGCTTCGAGGTGAGAGATTGAGTGACAAGGTCGCGCGCTCACGCTATTGTTCATCACGGTCATTGTCATTATTGGTTTAGACATATCTGTAATGGTCGAGCCCCGACGTCTGATGAATTACCGCTGTGTTTCGATCCAAATATTGGGTGGGATGACGTCAGTTTGAACGAATTCCTGCACTGTCCATTCAACTTGGCGTTTAATCGGTAAGTGGACTTGTTCCGATAAGAGGCACTCGGTGAAAATGCTGCATTCCAGTCAAACAAGAATGCTGGCTGATTTGACTCTGGTGAACTGTTATGCACGGAATGGCACGGATCCCAGAACAAGAGACCGCATACTGTTGGAAAGTGCCAAGAAAAACCTGAAGTACGTTCACGATTGCAAGAGATGTCAAAGTTTTAACATGGAACGGTATAGGGCTTTGTCGCGTTTCCAGCTGAATGTGCCCAGAAAATGCTCAATTGAACGTTTATGTGTGATAGAAACTGCGGTGTAAATAGATATTATAGTGTATAATGTGTAACAGTGTAAGTGTAAAATACGTTTGCGGCAAAAAGGGGCGTGGTTATCTGGGACGGTGCATGTGATGGGGTCTGTTGTGTGCGGGGTGATCACCTGGGCGCTTCGCCCAAGATTGGGGAAAAACCGTTTCGCCGAGTATTGTACTGAAACAGCTCATTTGAATGTTTCTATAAGGGGTCCTGAGACATCTCAGGGGTTCTGCTAGGCATGCCATATTCCTCTGCTGTGTCGCGGAAGCATCCGCCACTGGCATTGAGGCCTGAATATGTGACAGTACAATCCCTATACCGCTATGGTTAGCGGTGCGAACGACGCCGCCCCGACAGAGTTGAATTGCCTGGCCATTTAATTTGAACGTTAAAAGGAAGGGGAGCATTTGGTATCGCCCTAATGGGGTCGTCTCCGTCTGAAATTATATGAGTTTTGCTGCTCTTCACAAATTGATGTATATCACCTATTTGCACGCGTAACAACGCAACAATTTACAGTGGTGTTGTCCTTTTCTCTCCCTCCCCCCCCCCCCCTTGGACTTTAGGAGCTCAAAGTGTGAGCAGACGCGACCTATGATTGGTTTTTTCTTGAGTCCACCAATCAGAAGTTTCGCTCGGGCCCAACCCTAAACGAATGGAGATAAGGCTTCCCTCGAGATTTTGGGACAATTTTTCTGTACTCTGGATTAGAAGAATTGACTAGACTTTCACTAGGCCAAAAATGTTCGCTTTGTCCCATAATTGCCCGCACAGTATGCAGACGCTTCAGGTGTCCCAGTCATAAAATAAATCTCTTTCAGGAATATGGCCTTTTTTGGGATCAAGGAACGGATGGACGATAGCCAGACTATGTTTGAACGGTTATTTAATCTCAGGTTGGTTAACTTCATTTAGAATAGTTTACTTGCTTGAAAGAATCATTTATCAAAACAGTTTTGTTATTTCCTTCGATTCTTTGTGGTGCTTATGAAGTATCGTATACACCTTTTTCCCCTTCGTGAGTGTGAATCGCTGCTTAGTTTTTAGAGTAGGGGGGGGGTGCCGTTAATTCTGTTAAGGACTTAAAACCAGTAGAAAGAGTTGATAGCACGAGTCGAGTTTCAGCTTCAGTCGTCGTTTGTCAGCGTGGAGTCGAAGTAAATCGAACGACACCGATGTAAGCCCAGACCAAATGAGACAGATCCGAGAACGCAATCAGCTGGACATCGAGCTCTACGATTACGCGGTGAAACTTTTCGAGCACCGACTGGCTACAATTATGAATCGATCGTTACCTGCGGTAAGTATTTATTGCTTCCACAGAAAGGTGTATTCGCTACAGTGTAGAAAAGGCGTCCTCACTTCATGGCCCGAGCGTCCAGTAGCGCGATCCCCAACACGCGCCCGAAGATCGACCGCGCCCCGTAGCTTATCGTTGGACCTCTGCAACTGCTGAAACGAATCCCTTCAAACAAATATTTCAGCCACTAGTACTTCAGGTTCATCATTTAGATTTCGCAGTGGTTGACCTAGTTTTATAAGGTGATAATGATCCTTGTTGTGCGATTGCGTCGCCTGATTTCCCTCTTACAGTTTGCTTTGTTTTATTCTTTTTTTCGGACCCTGAGTGCGATATGGCAGTTGCAGCGGTTCAGTGATTGGAGGAGGAGCGCGGTGCGTCACACTCGCGCGATTTCCAAATTGTGTCCAATTCGTCTGTAATTCGTTGTCTGTAATTGCTACTGCCCGGACAAGAAGACCATCTGATCGCTACGTAATTCATACTGACACCTTTTTTTTGCAACTCTATGCAATAAATTAAAGACAACGGCCAAGATAAGGCTATGACGGCTCTGTCCAAGTATCACGTGCTAGGAATATGTGCAAAGCCACTCACAACCGGTTTCTTACCAGGGGTCTTTTTCTACCCTTTCGCAAAATGCAGCAGTAATCACAAATGTTCTGGCACTTGGGCAGTATCTTGTTCAGCAAAGGGTAGACCTTACAGATCGGTACTGCTAGCGCGATTGCGAAGGCGTCTGACGGTCCTACGATCGCATACCGTTTTGGGTTACTCCGCACTCAAGAAGCATGCTTTAACGATCGGGTACGTATGTAGTCGTGGCAAAGCCACGTTCATGCTTTAGGACAGTGACCTATAGCGGAAGTGGGAGAATCAGGGAGTCCTCCAAAAGAATTAGACACATATCCATAGACGTGGGCTACCTGAAAACCCGGGATAAGCGATACGTATGCGAATCCTTTTATTAAGTCCTCTTATTTCCCAATCCTAGATTGATACGTATGCCTTCCTTTTTCCTTTTCCCAGTTATGCGAGTCTCCCGATACTCCTTGTTGCGAAGTATGAACCCATACTGGGAAGTGGAGTTATAAATAGTCACATAGCACCAGTGAGAGGACGAAGTACATCTTTCAAAAGGGTTCTGTTGAGAATATCAAAGCTGTCGCAGCTAGGAAGGTTGATATCGTCGCAGTCAGTCGAGGCGGTTCCAATAGAAATCGAATAAGCCCACTCACGGCTTCCCACCACTGTTTTTCTCCCATACCGATCACTAGCCGATCGCTATCGGCAGAACAAAACAGCCGAAGGCGAGCTCATTCCGCCCCTTCTGACTCCGCCCCGAATGATTTCACTACATAGTACCCAATTTTTCACTTTGTCCCATTCAGAACAATGAACTTCACGATCGATTTACATCGTTCGAATTCGACTCGCCATCAAACCAAAAAGAGGTGCAGTTTGTTCGTGACGAAGATGCTGCAGCTCATCCAGAACGAGTGTTTCGTAAACCAAAGAACAGTGTGCTCAATGATGCTGAGTATGAGGGTGATGATGACGACACTCATACTTCATATGAAAACACTGACATCGAATTTGATCGGGTTTAACAACAAAGCATAATGCTTCTCCGCTAATTTGTTGCCATTTAAAAACGTGTATTAATAATTCGCTTCATTCTCAATCTCTTTAACCGATCGTAAACTTCTAGTCTGTTATCTTTTTTTTGTCATATGTGCCAGAAAATGTATGTTTATAAGTGGATACTGTGGGCATTTGTAGCCTCATTGTAATGAAAATCGTTTGACGTTTAGTGTGAACAGTTCAGAAATGAGGAACCTTTATTTTCGATCTTGTTAATATTGGCACCTATTCAGAGTATTTCCATTTGAAACATGATTCCAGTTAATCTCGGCTGAATATTAACATATGATTATTCGCAGGCATATCGTGTCGAGCCACTAATCGCATACCGCAGCGCATGGCTAACTGAAAGCTAATCTCTTGTTATAGATTTGGACGAATTGGCGGCAAATCATTACCGGCTACTTGAGGAAAGCAGTGCGCGAAAGAAATGGCCATAATTGGTGGTTCTAGCAATCCACCTATCACGGGCACGTCCTTCCACGTCATGTCACGCGATGCTGAAGGCACAGTGTACGATTTCCGTATAGGAGTGCCCCTACGATCACATAGGGTGAGGAAGTCCTACAGCCGACGCTCTCTTCACGTGATAGTGCGTAAAAGTGCGCTAGAGACTTGTGGCGTAGCATGCTCCCTACCCTGGGTGCGGGTTCCCCGCCCACTTCCAATCACAACCCAACCATTAATTTCTGATGATGCAGGAACTGCGAAAGATTCTAGAAGTAACATATGAGTGCTAATAATAATATCACAGCAAGAACTCATGTGGACCAGTACTTTCTTAATCGTGTCCTAGTAGAACGCTTCCAACTAACTGGGTCTTATTTAGGACCTTTTTGAATACTTCCTCCATGAATATTGGAATTATCCCCTCCTTTTGCATACCTGAACGTCGTCCACATTTCGCCATCGTACACTGTGCCTTTTTTAGTCGCGGCAATTAAAAAAACTATTTTTATGACTTAAGCATACAGTTATGTTCGCAGCAGATGCTGGGGCTATCAGGAAAGGCTAGTTTTGGCGTGAGCCCATTTTTTCACCAATCGTTATCGCTTACCCCCTTGGTGGATTATGGCCTGGCGTCTTGCCAAACCCACCCCCTTTGACACGCCTCAGCAACTGCAGTGAACGATGCTATAGGAATACGGGTGCATAATTCCAAAGCTGTTATTCTCACCTCGTTCAGATCTCGGACGTCTCTTAGACCCCATTCAGGATTTTGACTCCGTAAGTTGTTATCAAAGTCTAATATTACTTTGTGGTGAAATAACGCCATCAATTGCATATGGTCCATAAGTGATAAGAAGTCCAGTACCACGTCTTAATAATACACCGGAAGCCTGAAAAATAAAATGAAATCGTTGAATAAAATAAGAGATATGAAATAGCTTACTTGCCCTGAACAGTCCCTCCACAGCAGCATCGCTACTTATATGAATCATGTTGATATTGAGAATCACATCTACGGCTAAGGGGGCATAGTCAGCTGGAAGAGCCCAATGGCTCACAGGTTTCGCAACGTCGATGAACAGAGGTACCCGAACATTTGCTAGCTGAAAAAAACTATGAAAAAAAAACTTTGCGCAGTATACTGTATGGGTTGGATTTGAAAAAAAAAACGATGTGCGCGCATTTCCAGCGTTAATAAAATGCCCTAGTGATTCGAAATTGTGGTCGCTAGCTACGTCGAGGTCAACAAAAAATCATGCCATGCTCCTTTTCACGATTCGAGCTAAATGCTCGTTTTGCAAAAATGTTCCACATATTTGTACAGGGGGCCAAAAAAAGACTTTTTCTTCCTTGACTTTCGAGGCGCTATAAAGTTACACTTTATTGCAATTCTTAATTACACTTTTTGAATTCTGATCGGACATTTCTACCACCATATTAAAGAGCATATTAAATACTATCATGATACTCCGCCACAGCCTTCTGGAGGAGCGCCATCGAGAGATTCTGCCACGCGACCGTGAGTGGGTGCCTGAGTTCAGCGAGATCGTTGATTTCTCCGCCACTGTAGACCACCCTATTGAACTCCGCCCGAACCAGGTAATTGAGGGGGTTTAGGTCAGGTGACCTGCTTAGATATTCCACCTTCTTCAGGTACTCAACGCCCTTCCATTCCAAGTAGGCAAGAGTTTTCCCAACGCCCTTTGATTCCATGTGGTGTCACCCAATCCTGTAGCAGTACAAAGTTTCCAAGAAGGTACGGGCGACGACATGTGGGAGGATATTCTTCTCGAGTTGCGCCAGCGCTCACCTTCAGTCCGGGGCCCACGAAGAAAATATCGGTCTCTCCATTCCAGGTACGTCCGGTCCCCACCATCAACTGGCGCCTTGGCGACTGAGGTGAAGATGATGTCCTAGACCGTAGCGACGTTGACGGAGCTGCTCGATGATGGAGGTCTTCCAGATCGAGAGTACTGCTCTCCAGGTAGCTATCCATGGGTGACTCCATACTAGAAGTTTCGCAGCTGTTTGGAGGTGACATGAATTTTAAAGGTCTTCTCCAGTCAGGCTGCGACTGGAGATGACTTCATATTTTGGTGTACATGAAGGTGATGGGCGAGAGCCAGCTCCTGCTTATCGAGGAACATCTTGGGTATCTTCCGCCCTGGTACTCGTATCCACGTCCTCTGTCTGGGCTGCGAAAACTTTGCTGATATGTGACTCGGTCGAAATGTCTTTTTGTCTTTTTTTTGCCCCCCCCCCTATTGATTGGTAAGGTCGGTTGTATAATTAGAACGCGTGCAGGGACGCAAAGCTAGAAAATGAGAAGAAAATAACAAATTTTTGTCCGCCGATGTCAATAAATTTTGTTTTGAATTCACTATAGGTATAAAGATCTACATGTAACATTTAGAATACACATTGGAACTTACTCTATAATGATCAATGTAAGCGACGATACTGTGAAGAGATCTGGCGTCGATTTCAGACGGTTGGAACGTAACAGAAGGGAATTTCTCGGCAAATTTTATGATATGTTGTCCAGTACCAGACGATATTTCCAATAGCTGTAAAATAGTAGTGAACTATTGTAAAATGCAGGTTGCTCACAAGAAAGACATCTCAAAGTATTCTCCAGTAAGGCCGCGTCTGGAGTGCCGGTGCTGATCGATACACATCCACTACCTGGGCGCGCAGTTTCCCAAACTGCCGGATCGCCGCTTCTCCTCAATCGCCAGATCGATATCTATACTTCCCCTATCGCGTAATCTCTCGGGTCGCCGAGTCTCTCAAATCGCGAACTTACCGATCATCTGGATTTGCTCAGTCGCAAACTATCCTTACGGCCTAAGAAGGAGAAGCTCCGCTCATAATGACCGCCTATTTCACATTATCAATACATTTCTGTGGACTTCTCAGATGCTACTTTTTTTAAGCTGATATGTTCGATTGAGGCGGAGGTGGTGTAACGACAAGTGGGGCGCTTACCACTCGCGTGGTCCTTTGTTCAAATCCCGTGTCAACTCCGGCTCAACCAAGCCTTCTACCCCCTCCCACGAGGAACGGCGAATTGGTGCCAGATTTGTCTGGGAGGATGAGAACACTGACTTGTACATCGGCTGGCCCCCGCAAGTCATTGTATAGGCCACATCACTTCCATTCAGAATTGTGCTGGTCACTGAGCCACTACGATTCTGAATGGAAGTAGAATGCGTGGCGCATCCCACAAAGGGATTGATCAACGGCGAAGACTTTATCCTTTATCCTTTATTTCGATATCACCCACAATATCAGTGACAGATTACGATGGAGATATATCAATATTGATTACGCTATACGGTACAGCCACTGTGCAGGGTGCTGTCCTACTGCACACCGTTAGCAATTATAAGTTGTAAGCGAAGAAAAGTAGATTTGTGACCAAATAACCTAGTTTGACTCGAACAGGGTTATTTTCTTAAGCCCTGCTGGCACTCTTTTTACATTGGGTGAGCCTGGACTTTGGCAAAGTAAGCCCAACATCACATGAGTGCGGCCATCGCGAAGAAACATGGGGCAACATACTAGACTAAACCAGACTCTACTACCACTATAGCTTTACTTTTTACTCCACAGGATCCTCTTCCCATAAACTGCTTGTCCTTACTCAATGACAACTATCGATGAAGCAAGAAGGTCTCATATACAGGAATTCATGGGCAAAAATCTCACTGCTCCAACTAGACGCCACCTTCTTCGGCGGTAATCCTGAATACCGAGCCATTTCGTGAAATCTTATAGAGATATGAGACCGTGTTTTAAAGCCCTGCGATAGATCCGAGGTAGGTGAGGTAATTCCCACTTTTCGCGTAATTGAATTGGTTTGCTTTCCCCGAAACAAGTTCCTCCTCCAGGCTGAGGGAAACCCTAATCTACCTGGCTCTCAGTTTCTCCGCAGTATTCGGCACTAAATGCCTTGCAACATGGGAAGACCGGAGAAATAGGGTGAAAATGGAAACAGCGTAACACTCCTATCCTCTAGCCTGACGGCTTTAACGGATAGCGCGCTCGCTTGGAAAGCGTGGGGGGAGGCGGGTTCGAGTCTCACCTGGGGTCAAGACTTTTGCCAATAACACTTGCGATAACCTTCGGGTGAACAGAGACGTTGAACGGGCGTTATTATGCTGTAACAACATCCTAAACTCGTAAAGTTTCGTGGTTTAACAAGACCTTACAGGCAAGGCTGCAGTAAAGGCCCCATATGTTCATAAAACTTTACAAATGGCCCGTT